GAGCGCGGCCACCCCAGCGCTCTCTGTCCCGCCGGACGCGGGATCCTTGACCCGCGCGTTTCCTCGGGGCGCTGCGAGGCCTGTGCGGCCGAGTCGTGTTGCCTTGAAGCCCTGTCCCCCTCCCGTGTTTCCGCGGGGGCGACAGACCCCGCGTGCCCCGAGCTGGGTGGCAGAACCGTGTTCTCAACCGTGGGGCTGTTCTCCGGGGCCGGGGCAGGTGGCGGGGGCTGAAGGACGTTGCTGTGCCGAGAACGGGTTGCAGGTCAGTGGAGCTGTCAGACTTAGTGCAGGGATCCTTCTAGTTTTATTTTTTCCCTCTGATTGCTTTTGGAACTGGATAGTTTAGCAGAGGAGCCAACGACACCCAATTCCCAAGATAATGTGTTCAGCTCAGCTTCAGCACGATGCAGGAGCCTCAAGGGGCCTTTTAGGCCACAGCTGAAGCACAGGGAGCAGTTAGGAGTTATCTGAGTTTGGCTTTTTTTTTTTTTTGTTCTTCAGTTACCTACTCCATGTTTCTCTTACAGAGCTCCTGAAAGGGAGACAAGCAAGATGGGAAAAATAGCAGAAAAAAAGGCTTTTTTTTAAATAACATGCCACCAGAACTTCTGCATGGTAACAAAGGTATAAGTTATGTTGCCATTTATTTAATTTGGATATTAATCATGTTTGTGCTATCTGTATGTTTGGATTCAGGATACCTTTTGGAAGTGGTTTGTTACTCTGCAGCACTTGCAGGCCAGAATTTCAGATGTGGGTTCGAAATTGCCTTCTGTTTTTTATGTCTGCCATAGCCTTGTGTTTCCTCTCAGAAGTATCTGCCCAAGCATGTTGAATGCAAGCAGATACTGCTTTCATTTACTGTGGATTTTCTCAATTAAAATACATAGCTTTCATTTGAGATTTCAAAAAGGAAAAGTAAAAAGGAGGCGTGGATCTGCAGTGTAGGTTATCATTACTGTACCCCTCCTCCTTTTCTAAAGCTTATGCATGCAAGAAAAAATACACTGGCTTCATTACAACTTCACCTTCCAGAGTTCAGTACCTCCATGTTCTCGTTGACATCTGGGGGCAACAACATATATATCGCCTTAACAAACTTCAGGCCGGTATCCTCTGGGACTTTTAAAACCTCAGGGCAATTTCTAGAAGCAGTGACTTGGGTAACTTCCAAACAGCAAGCACTGCACTGTGGGATGGAAGTAGGAGAACTGGCTAGACTAGCATGGAAGCAAGAAATTCCCAGCAGTGATTCTTTTTTTCCCTCTAAGTAACCCCCTGGGTTTTCAGTTACTGTAAAAAGAGCTTTTTTTCTTAAAATAGTTGTCAGGTCATACAAACGTTTGACCATGTGAGAGAAAGTTAGGGGCAATCTAGGATAAGATCAGGAGTGATTGTTAATGTTGCTTTCCTGAACTAACAGCACCTCATAATGACCTCTGGGGAGTGCTCGGAAGGAAACACTGAGACATCTGCTGTCCAGGAGTAAATACGCTGTTTTTCTCCAAAACTAGCTCTTCAGCCAATGCCAATGTAAGCTTCTAAACAAGAGGCAAAAGTCCAGGATAGCAAATGATGATTAGACAACAAACTTTATGCCTGCAAGTAGTCAAAGACTAGAGAGGTTGAATGTTTCAGTTGATGGAATAGTGAAAAACAGTGGGGTGCAGGTAGTCGTGTTTGCTAACATATGTGCAGATGTGCTTGATCTGGTAACTGCTTATGGAGGGTAATTTTCACTGTTGGATGGTTTCTTTAAATCAAGTTTAATACTGTTACTGCTTCCTATGATACGTGCGTGCTTAAGCTGACAGGTCTTATGATTGAAACTGGTATTTCTCTCAGCCTTTCTTCTTGTGAATTCTACTGTGTTAACTTCACACATGCTGACCTAGAACAAAGGTGGAAAGCTTAGCTTTCTGTTATTCTTGAGTTGGCTGGAAAACATTCCAATCAGACTTTCTCGCTTTGATAAGGCTATATTTTTAAATCATTGTTTGTAGTGCCAGTCAGGTGATTTTTTTTTTTTTTTGTGGTGCTGTTGTTTGAAAGCAAGAATCGCAGGCAAGTATGCTGAATTTTTAAGCAGATAATTCATTAGCCTTGTCATTTGAAGAAACTTGTCCCTGAATAATGCAATGTTACATCATGCTACTTGGTAACTAGAACTTCCGATTACTAGTCAGCCCTTTTTAGTTCTTTCACTCAGCATCAGTTTTGTCACCCGAGTCACAAAGACAGAAATGTCTCTATTTGATGCACAAATGTTTTAAAGTGCTTATTGTTTAGCCTGTTCTCTGTGAAATAATGGAAATGTTTGGTTCTCTTCCGTTTTCTGGAAGAAATGCACAAAACCAGTTGTGCAAGAAATATGCGTAAAACAGGGAGTACTTAGCATCTTGAATGTTTTTGCTGAGTTTGAATATGTAACCGATCACAGGGACATCTGCACCTCACTGAATAAATTGGAAAGTGAGAGCAAATTAAAAAGTTGCTCACCCTGTATCAGCTACTTTGGAAGAAACGGGACTTCCCTGTTGTGGAAAAGTATAGGTTATCTGTTACTTTTGAGTCCTTTATAGTTTCTCTTATTTTATAGAGTAGGCCACTATAGAACTTGGAATTAAAGAATATGTTGTCTCAGTCCTCAAATTCTTATTAATTACTATACGGAAGAATGTATGATAATAACGTTATTTACTTTGTATTCTTAAAGGCTTGTAATACCAAGTTGCATGAGAGCAGCAAGCAATTAAAATGTGTCAAATGTGGCTCGCCATTACTTTCAGTTATACTCTTCAAAAATTAACTGTTGATTCAGTGCACAAAGATAATGTCTTAATTTTCAGGATCAATAACTTGCAAGAATAGACTAAGCTTACTTAGACTTGATTTATTTGTTTTTATCGCAGTTACAATTGGAACTTCATTTGCTGGTCTAGACAGATCCTTTTGATTATTTCAGTATATTTTATGCACATAATTTAATGAGACAGATTTTTAGTAAATTACAGCAGCCCTCCATTCAGAAAATGCAGGAGGCTGGACAGCCTTGTCTTCCTGTGATTGTTTATAAATCTGGCAGGAGCATGCACAAAAGGTGAATTGTGCCTGCAGCTGCAGAAATACATCTGGACCTTGTAATCTTGGCCCACTTGGGTTTATAGTCCAAAAATTAAACTGTATATTGCTCTGCTGGAGATGTAAGGTCTGTGCTTGGCATTAGACTGAATGGAAAACTGGATCTGTGGCATTCATTTAGTCGAGATAGGGGATGTGGCTGTTGGGGTGCTCTGGACCGCTGGGGTATTACAAAGAAACTTACATGATTGTAATTGTCAAGAAATGTGTTTTCATGAATGGATAACTTCATTATAACTTTACTTTATTACTTCATTATTACTTCATTATTACTTCATTATTACTTCATTATTACTTCATTATTACTTCATTATTACTTCATTATTACTTCATTATTACTTCATTATTACTTCATTATTACTTCATTATTACTTCATTATTACTTCACTTCATTTACTTCATTACATTATAACTTCATTATAACTTTAGCATTGTTTTTACTCTGAGTCTTTTGGTTTTTTTAGGGTTCCCAAAAGAATCTGTTAATACATCTCCCTGGGTTTTGATTCCACTGATAGTTCAAAAGTAGCAATGACATAGTACGTTTGAAGATGGCAAGTGTTTGAATTCTGAGGTGGCTGTGGTTCACATCACTCGCTTCAGACCTAACCAGCTCTGGCCACTGAGGTGGCAGAGGCTGATGCGGACTCTGTTCCCTACAGTGTGTCAGTGGCAACGAGAATCCTTTCATATCTTGCAGTTATAAAGCTGGTAGACGTTAAAGCTACAGAGAACTTAGGTCACCAGCCTATTTATAATGGTCCCTTTAGCAGCATGTTTGTTTACTGGACTAAACCAGGCCTTTGGTAGAAGAGCAGAACTTCTCCCCCATGACTGTGTTCTTTCTAGGTTTTGCACCTCAGTGAAACTGCTGAATGGTTGTTTAACATGGAAACAAAAATGGTACCTATCTTCAGAGATGCAAATAACTTTATTTACATGGTCTTCTTTTGTCTTAAACATAGTTCTAAGTGCTGTGCAACTGTTTTATTATCTGAGTGGTTTAATGCTATGGAGCAGGTAGCTACATGGGTTCCTTATTAAACTGAACTCTATTTAGAGAGATTTGCCCTGTCTTGAGAAGTCAAAGTTTATTTGGTTTTGTTTTTCATCTTTTGACAACAGCAAACACAGTAACACCCTCACACTGGAATCCATTAGAAATCTACTATATAAATGTAGCTGTAAATGAAATTCAACCCTAGCAGAAACTCTGATTTTGTGAAGCTTTTGCAGTATCATCTTAAAACTCCTTAGCACATAGCCGCTAGCTGTGCGCATGAGCTCGTGCTGCAGAATTTCCATGCGTGAGGGGTCGTTGGTAGGCATAAAAGTACGTTTGCTTAGGCTGTAGGGCTTTGCTGTCGGTTAGTCAGCTGTTGTCTTGCTTTATATGCAGTGTGTTTGCTGTTGTAATTGTTCAAGAGTCTCCATGCAGACTATATGTAAGATACCTTGTACAGAACAAATGTAAACAACACCTGCCGGGGGAGAGACAGTGTTTAGAAAGTGCCTCTGAGTAGGAAGGTCTATAGACTTAAACCTGTAACTATTTTTAGTGTTGTAAGGGTTTTCTCCAGTGATGTTACGTTGTAATTGTCGTCACGTTTATAAACCTCAGTGGTCAGTTAGGGGTGGTCACATTATGATCAGAAACATTCAAGTGTACTTAATTTCACCTTCAGCCTAAGCTTTGGTTCAAAGAGAAGTGTTAATTATATATCTACTGACACTGTGTCCAAAGCCATTCTGCTTGGAGTTACTACCTCCCACCTTGTCTCTTACCAATAAGACAAAACAAATCCTCAGGGAACTACTAAGAAGTGATTAGTTCTACAATACAGTATTGAATTACTAAATTTAACAGTGTGACTAGAAATGAGCTGGTTTATCAGTTACGATCAAGCCTGGCATTAGGCATCATGGGCAGAGAAGCCATGTAAAACAGAATTTTGTGATCTCTTACCATTGTGGGCAAAGAAACAGTTTCCAAGGGAAGGCTACAAAGTCCAAAGAACGCTGTACCAGATACTTTCAGGTGGAAAAATGTCTCAAATATTGATGTAATGTTAAAGAAGGAGAACATTTGCAGAACTGTGTGGGAATCTCAGTGAAGTGTTTTGCATCAGAAAATAATAATCTGTTGGAATCAAGTTTCCTTGGTCTTTCTGTTCGTTTGGTAGAAGTTCTGCGAGCCAGCATCCTTGGCTGTCGAACAGAATTTGTGGCTGAAGGGAAACCGGGGATAGCCATTGGGTCTGTAGGTAATTGAGCACTGTACTGGGAGGGTATTTTCTGTCCAGTTTCACCTTTACAATTTTTATGGTCAGTAAATAATACTTCTGATAGCAGCACTGTAGCTTTGTGTTGGGGGCACTACTTAGTGTGTGGGATAATTATTGCGGATTGTTCTGGTGCAGGAACAAATTTTGTAGCCTGAACTCGGTTGCAAACCAGATTTCTATCTTTTCAGTTGGCTCTAA